TTGAACGCGTTTGTGTAGTCCAAGAAACAAACGTGAACAATTTTTTGTTTTGGTCTATAGTGGATAAAACAGAATGTATAAGACAAGCAACGCACCTAAAGTAGAGCGACGCTTACAATAAGCAAACTGATTGGAATCACGAAAATCAAGATTAGAGGATAGGTGCTTAATAATAATACGCTCAAAATTCTGAAGTAATTCTGAGGATGAAGCAATAGGCCGAAATTTACCCTTTTCTTTCTTAGGTACTGGAGTGATGCGCACTTCACGCCATGTGTTAACTAGTCTTCCTTCTGACAGATATGTATTAAAGATAAATTAAACGGTTTGTGCGAGGTGGTTTGCCCATGTTTTAAGGACTACTGGGGATAACCCATCAGGAACAGCGGATTTATTTCCATTGACAGCATTTAACTCCTTTAAAACTTGCTCTGTTGTGACAGACGTAGGAAGATGGTAATCAAGTGACGTTGTGTTTGGACTCGGTGAAGCTTGCACAACGTTTTTTTACTGAAGCAAATGATTTGTTGAGCTCATTGAAGTCACATGTCACACATCGTAGCAATAGTTGAGATAATTGGTAAGATTCTCACTGAAATATCAGGATCGAAGAGTTGTTGTAAGTCCGTTCCGCCGACCATGGATTTTAAATTCCATTAAATTGGTCAGGTGATTTTGCCGTAAATGTATCTTACGTGCATCGTTCTTCATCAGGATTTGTTGCTTGCGTTTACCATATATTGTAGGTAAAACTTTAATCAGACAGTGATAGGAGTTGCCTACTGATGCACGCTTGAAGGCACGGAATAAAGATGGTTCGTTGATGAAAAAGTGGTCCAAGGAGGCGTCGTTTCGAACGGAAAAAGTAACAATGTTCTGAAGGGACATAAGTGTGTAAAAACCCACATCAGATCTGTTGAAATCGCCAGCAACGATGAATACAGATGTGACAGGTCTTTCCAACATGATCGGATAGAATACATCCAGGAAGGTGGACAACTCACTAGGAGTACAGTCAGGAGTGATGTATAGGTTTGAGAAGGTGATCAAAGAGTGACACAGGAGAAATCGTGGTTTACATTCCATAGAAATACAAGAAATGTTTTGTGTGCAGTGAGTGAATATGCATTTGGTGGTGTCACACGACGACCGGCGCACATAAGTAATGACACCTCCAACTTCAGTTTTCCTTCCCAGAGGTCTATCTGCTCGAAATAATTGGAAGCCTTCGATCTGAACCAATTCGTTATCGACGGATTCTCGTAACCAAGGTTCTTGGAAAAGTAGCACACAACTTTTGGAGTACTCTCCGCAGTGAATCAGAAGACCGATGTCTGATAGCTTAGAAAGAATTGCGCAGGCATTCGACGACAAAATAATAGGAAAACCAATGCTCTTCAGGTTTCGGCGCTCAATTGCAACTTTCCAGCCAGCGCGATGTTTTTTTCCTTTTGTCATGTGAATTTCAGGGGATCCTTTTAACCTTATTTCTCACAAAACGAGAAAAGGCACGTAAGGACGGTTCGTTGGTATATTCCACGGACACTCCTACAGAAATTAAACTGAGCGCGTTGTAGGTTATCATTGAGGTCACCGTAATTTATACAAAAGCATCTCCGTAGGTTGTGATGAAAAAAACCAAAGCTCCAGCGATTACAAAAAATGACACGGCCGATTTCAAAGGTCCTACCGTTTCGTGACACCCTGGATTTCCGCTGATTCTCTGCGCCTTCTTGACGCGCGTCGGTCACTTCCGACCGGCAGGGAGCATAACGTAACACGCCTTGTAATGAGACGTGAACTCAACATAAGCCTACGCAGAGATCGCGAGATCTGGTGGTCTCAATGCGCATCAGAATTGGAACGTGCTGCCGCCATGGGAAATTCCTGTAAGCTGTTTCATCTCACCCGAGTCACCGGTAGGAAAGCCTTGGGTGTGAGCGAGACGATCCATGAAGCTGACAGCTCGTTTATTCACAATCAACAACGACGTCTTGGACGTTGGGCGGAGCACTTCAAAGCACAATTTAGCTGGCCACCCGTGCCAGATTCTCACACAGTTATTCCGGTACACGTCCCATGGTTTGTTTCAACAGACCCACCTTCTGAGGCGGAAATCCGTAAGGAGATCCAAGCCTTGGGACGTCACAAAGCGCCGAGCTCCGATGGCCTTCCCCCAGCTCTATTTAAAGATGGTAGGATAAAGCTTGTTAGAGAACTCCGCGTCCTGTTCTCTAAAGTTTGGAACACTGAGCAGGCCCCCTCCTTGTGGGGAGGAGTCGATTGTCGTCCCCATCTTTAAAAAGGGTCCGCGCAATGATTGCGCCAATCACAGGGGTATAAGCCTGATCCCAATAGCGTCAAAGCTGTTAACATCCGTCATTCTGCGTAGATTGTACGAAACGCGCGAGGAACGTGCCCGTGAGGAGCAGGCTGGGTTTCGTGCCGGTCATGGGTGCATCGATCAAATATTCGCCGTCATGCTTACTGTAGACCAACGATCTTAGACATTCACGCGGCCTTCGATTCTTTTGATAGGACCGCACTATGGAGGTGTTTATTGATGAATGGAGTACCAGAGAAGTATGTGTCGATCCTCAAAGAGTTGTA